GTCTAAAATTATTTATATGAGTGTGTGTGTGTGTGTGTGCGCGTGCGCGTGCGTGTGTATGAGCACGTGCATGTACATATGCATGGAAAGTTGTTTTGAATTAAGGTCATGATAGAAAGTGATTAATAACTGACAGGGGAGAAGAATTTATGTAGATGAATTTCATTAAAGTCTCCATTGTTTGGATTCAACTGACATTGGATATAACAAAAACATTTTCTTTTGTATTTCAACCTTGTACAACTTAAGTCCATTATTTCTGACGTACTACAGGCAATGTTCTAAGTTATATTTATGTAATTTGCATCAATTTATATCATTTGCATGAATTGCTACAGATAATTTAAAACCATAGTTCCCCAAATAACAAATATGGCATCAACAATAATAAACACTCCAATTTAATGGAACTCTTTCTAGCCAATTGAGATGAAGGCATTTTCATGAATATAAAGCAGAATGAATATATTTGGGTTGGATGGTTGCAGCAGCGTAGAGGCTGTGTCAGTGAAATTGCCAAGCAGAGGATCAAGTCAAAGTGACCATGTTTGGGCATCTGTATCTACAAAGACAGAAAGTTAATATTTATGCTATTCCCAGAAAACATATGCAATAAGGCAAAAGAAGCGCAATCCTAGGTTAAAAAGCTCTTTTTTGTTGCCGGGAAAATTACATAGACATATCCATAAAATAAACAGAAACTTTATTTCATTGGGCGGAGATTTAACCCTTCTGCTGTCTCTATTACAATTGGCTCCAGGATTAGCTGGTTAGGGCACTCTGATACTGTACTGTACACATTCAGATAAGTCATATTGTTGACCAATATGAATCAAAACTGTGTCCAGAACATAGGGCAGAGTTGACGGTTAGGGTTAGCCAGGAGAGCTCCTAAAGTCAAAGACAATTGATTTCTTCCTCCCTCTTCTTTCCATCCTTAATTCAGTGTAATTGTTATTTATTAACCCTGCTGTTTTTACTTGGCAATATCTTTCCTTTGGCCTTCCAGGATATCACTGTGGCCTTGACATTTTCCATTCTCAATCGATTATTATTTCTGAAGAAATATGTTGCATGCTACATGTGGATGATGTCCTTACTGACCTTACTGACCTAACCTTCATGACTCTATCATACTCATTTAGTCAGTCTAATATTTGTCCTACAATTTTCCATATTGTAGAAAAATAAAGTTTTAGAAGAAGAATATGTATTGTCATTACCGCACTCTTTTATAGTAGATATATTTCCTAAACGTTAGTTAGCCATAAATCCTCAGTTTTTGGTGCAACCAAATCTCACACATTTTCTAACTGATAACATATAACAGATAATCAGAGTTGGAAGGGACCTTGCAAGTCATCTAATCCAACCCCTCGCCCAACCGGGAGACCCTACACCATTTCTGACAAATGGCAGACAAAGTATTCTTTGTATGACTGGAAGCAGATTCTCTTTGCTGTAAGAATAGTCTGCTTGAAAACATACTGCTTCCCAAACTAAATCTTCAGGCTCCTTTTTTGTTTTATTTAGCTTTGCTCAGTATATTTTGTATTTTTGGAAAAAATGACCCAATTTTCTATGTGATATTTAATAAAATAATACATTTACTTATCTATCTGTATCTATTTATCTATTTATTTATTTATGTGTTTATTTATCTATTTATCTATCCATCCATCCACCCGTCTATATTTTTAGAAAATGCATGCTAAAAGAATAAATCCTTTCCAATCAACCTAGAAATTCCCCAGTAAATTATTCATCTTCCTGGGCTCTAAAATCAACCAATGTGGTGACAGCAGTCCTAGTATTAGGAGGCATATAGCTCTTGAAAAAACTGCAATACCAACATGAGTAATAACTGGAAGAATTAAGATATCAGACTATCAACCAAATGCAGATTAGTCAATGAAATATTTTTTCCAGCTGCTACTTATGGCTGCAAAACCTGGGCTCTGAAAAAGGCCAATAGAGGGTGGATGCATTTGAACTGTAGTGCTGGAGTAACTATTACATATCCCAGGGACTGCAAACAAAGAAATCACAAACAAAGAAATCCTATGCTATACCTTACCAAAAAATATTACTTGAAATGAAGATCACCGAACAGTCATGCTTTGTTCATGTCATGAAAGCTGACTCATTTGCAAATTCAATTATGCTGGGAATAAAAAGCAGAAAAAGAAGTGGCTGTCCCAGCACCCACTGGCTGGACACTATAAAGGCTGACATCAGGATGACCATGGCAGGATAACCAAGCTAGTAGTGCAAGATAAAGAGGCATGGAGAGAACTGAGGTTGGACACATCTGAATGGCTGATAACAATGACAAAATTCCTCTTTTCTTAACCATGATTACTTGGTTATTTCCAGAAAATACTGCTGTATGATTTCTCCCTCAGTTATTGAATATTGCAGGGGGAACTGGAGGTTATGTTGTGTTTCCTATGTTCTTCCATATTTTTGTTTTCAGCAAAAATGTGTTCAAGAGGAAAAGATGAATGAATTAAGAGATATACTCCAGGAAGCAATCTTTCTATTTTTTCCTCTTCTTGTAACTACTTGTGCTGAAGAAGGAAAACAAAACTGACGAGGCACTATGTTGGAGATACCAATTTAGAAAAAGCTCTTGTTAGCAGATATGTATCCCAACATTGGTAGGGTGCTGAAACAAACTTTAACGTTCAAATAGCAGCATTTCCCATTTTTTAAAAAAGAAAATTTCCTGATGTAGTTATGTAGGATGCAATGTATGTATCAGCTCTGCCTGGTTTGGCTTGGCAGTTCTCAGGCAACCTATCATCAAAGGCTAGAAGAAGGCCGTGAGGATGGAAGGGCAATAAAGCTGTGTGTATATGTAATGGGAAATTGGGAGTGGGGAATGACAGGTGTTAACAACCAGAGTAGCCTGGATCCAGTTTGTACCAGCATCCCAAGGCCAGGCTCTCTAAGAAAATATGCAAACTAGCCTCAAACATCCCAGCATTCTCAAAATATTTTGGCAAGTTCTGGTTGGTTGGAAATGGACTTAAGAACCTAAGAACCAGAGGTGGTATTCAGCAGGTTCTGACCCAGTTCTGGAGAACCGGTAGTGGAAATTTTGAGTAGCTCGGAGAACTGGCAAACACTACATCTGACTGGAGATTTTACAGTATCCTTCCCCTGCCACGCCCACCAAGCCATGCCCACAGAATTGGTAGTAAAAATATTTGAATCCTACCACTGCTAAGAACCATTTGTTTTAACCAAACGGAGTTAAGAATCTTTCTTTCCTAAGGGATCAGATTGAGGCAGGACTGACAATATGGGATTAACAATTAATTCTTTTGTGAAATAAAAAGGCATTGTGCAAAAACCAGAATAAAATAAAAACAGAGCATTTTTTAATTGAGAATGTGACATCTGAGCTTACATACATGCATATATTTCAGATTATCTCAAAAGGTCTATACAAACATAAGGGATTTCTAGCACATTACAATTGTTAATTGATATGATAGTTGTAACCTCTCCCCTCTAAAACAGTCATCTACATAACCAACCTATCTCTTCCTCCTTTTTCCATCTCGGAAAATGTATCTAAATTTTACATCTAATGTAGTGAGCTATTGATCATATGGCTTAAACCTTGGCAATGAAGATATTGAAGTGGTGGATAATTTCTGCCTTTTACAATCAGTCACCAATAGTAAAGGAAGAAGCAGTCAAGAAACATGCTATAGGCTAGCACTTGTTAGAATAGCCATGAAGGCCTTGGAAAAGACAATCAAATGTTGAAATGTGTATACCTACACAAATCAGAATCATACAAGCCATGGTATTCCCTCTAATGCTCTATAGAAATGAAGTTGCACTTTAAAGAAGCAGGATAAGGAAAAGGTTGACACTTTTGGTGTTGGAGAAGGTTCCTGAGAATTGTGGACAGTTAAAAGAACAGATGGATCATCAAAGACATCAATTCAGAGTTCTCACTCAAGGCACAAATTACCAGGCTGAAATTATCCTACCTCAGACACATTACACTAATATCTAGCTCTCTGGAGAAGTCTTTAATACTGGAAAAGGTAGATGGAAAAAAGAAAGGATGATAGGTAGTTCAGAAATTGCTGGTGGATACAATTGTGCTTTTTATTTTTTGAAGAAAATGGTGCGCTTGGGTAACATTGGGTTAGGGTTAGTACTTTGGTATTGGTACTGACTTTGTCTGGCCTCTAGGTTTATCCAACAAAATTTAGGTTGGGAGGGATAGGGCAAGTGGTATCACGCAATATACTGAAGTTTTGTTTGTGTTGAATATTTGTATGATATATTACTAGTGCACCAGCCCTTTTGTGTTAACCTATGACATGCAAAACCCCTGTCGGGTTATGTAGCTGTAACTGGGAAAAGGGGTCCTTTAAATAACCTGGGCTCAAGCCATGTAGTGGTAATAAATACCACCTTGAATTACATCTGGAAGCAGATTGGTAAACAATGCAAAAAAAAAATGACACATGTGTAAGTTTGGACTTGTGAAAAATTCTGAGGGTCATTGCCCTTTCACCAAGTGAAGCTTTTGAATACTTGATAGATATTTGAATAATCTTGAATATGCAAATATGCAATTAGTACCATTCACATTGACATATTTTCCCCATACATCTCAAGGAAATATACAGTCTATTTAGATACTCCCATTGTGTTAATACACACAAACCTATATATTTCAATTTATAATGCTTAAATCATGTGCATGCATCAGAGATATTCTCAAATATATATGGGGACAGCACAGATCAGGCAGGGAATCATAGCAAGACATTGTGGTACCCTTAATAGATGATCTACTAATGCCACCTCCGGTATATATTTTTGAAGAATAAACCAGAAGCACAATTCTCTCTAAAGATGTAAATTAACATTATTTTTATCCATTACATGCACCACCAAAAATAGGTAATGAGGGTCATTCCTAGTGAGGATCTGATGATTCAAAGAAAATGCGTTCTTTTTTCCCCCCTCCTTCTGCCTTCCCCCAAAATAACTAGTGTAAATTAAGATTGTTGGTCTTATGCTTTCTTTTAATTGAACAATATTCTAACCTGGAGTTTTCCCTAGATGGGTTTAAAAGAAATCCTTTCTTCCCTTCCATCCTTCCCTCCCTTTTTACATTTACAACATCTCTCAAAATTTCATTTATTGCTTGTTATCCAAAAGTTTCCATCACATGTGAAGATGGTTGATGTAGTTTTACTAATACAAATACACACAAATTAAAGCAGTTTTTTTTGTTTCAATTCTTGTTTAATTTAGGGTAGAATTTAATCTGATGCTAAAATGGCATGAAGTTCAGCAAGGATGAAATATGCAAGTTAGCTCCTAGAAGATTATTTTGATGAAATTCTTATACATTCCTAATACAAGCAAAGACACTGATTTATCTTTTTGTATTGGAAGAATCAGAATTGTATTGTCATAATTAGAAAAGGCTCAATTACTCAACAGTTTTTTTACAGACAGCAAAATACAGCCTTCTTCCCAATGCATATTAATACAATTATTTTTAAAATAATAATAAAAATATTTCAAATACAAATACAAAACAAATATTAAATGATGGAGCATAAATGAACATTTTAATGCCAATCACTACATTTATCTGAATGCACCATTTAAGAAAATAATCTTAAATTTGAAATGGGCCCATCTGGAAACAACTGTAGTCAGCTGATTCTGCAGCTGGTGTCCTGGCCATCATTACATGATTTGTCTGGAATTTCTGTGCAAAACCAGAGGGCTTTTGAATAAGCAGTGTATTCCTACTGAGAATGGTCCGTCCAATCCAGCCATTTGTTTCCAGCAAATCATTTATGTGAATGAAAGCTTTTGGCCTGGAATCACAGTATAATAAACTAATCATCATTCTGTATCTGAATGGTGATTTCAAAAGTCAGTATATTGTTATGACCATTTGAAAGCATTTGTGCATTCTAATTATCATTGAACTGAGCAAAACTTTGCTGGATTCTTTCTCTAATATGCAAGACAAATGATATCCTGGCTCAATTTAGGTACCCACTAATTTTGCATAAAATTAAAACCCATACATGCTACAACATTTAGAATATCAGTTAATGACATTCAAAGCCATAATGTGTAAAAAGACTGGGTCATTGTCAGTTGAAAGCAGAAATTCTCCATTGAGTTAGTCTAAAAAAAATCCCAGCCACAAATTGAAAACAGTGAGAGGTGACCAAAAGTAAGGAATAGAATAGACAGAATAGAAATATAGAACTAGGAGTGCTCAAGCCAGTCATTCTTTAGCCTTTACATTTTTTAAAATGTTAAGCCAGAGTATAAATGTGTATTCTTGTCATGGAATTGTCAAGTTCTCAAAACCATTGTAAGTGAAAGGAGGTAGGCTGGGAAAACATGTGACTGTTTGTTGCAAGCAAGCAATTTGGTTGATATCACATTTGCCTGCATCTTCATCATCTCTGAAGTAGATGCTGTCAAGGGAGCTGCTAGAAGGATCAACATCAAAATAGTTATAAGGCCGAAGTAAAAAGCCTACTCCATTGCCAACTGTCACAGTAGTTGGGATGTCCTCAGCATGTGGCACATGTAAAAACCCAACTGAGATCCAGGCCACAAGATCCTGGGAAGAGGAAAGGAAAAAAGAAAAATTAGCAAGATTAATGATTAGTAAAAAAAACAACCGTTTAGCTATGACACTTTTCTAATAATATAGAATGCAGTTGTATTTCATGGAGCTGTGTCCCTTGTAAATGATGGTCTTGAAACTGGCTGCATGTAAATGAAAGTCAGTTCATATTATTTGTTCAGATGATCTGCAACTAGATTGTAATTCATGCATCAGATATGCGCTGTCAACAGAACAATATTGCAATGTTTTATGTTATTTTACTTCATTTCCTCTACTGTATACCTCTTAACATTATCTAATTCCTTTCTTGACTACTTGCCTTACGTTTCCATTTATTTAAATCAATTTTTGGTTCTCATTTGCAAATTGTGCAAATTTCAATTTTTTAAAAGAAGTCTTTTTGCCTTGAACAATTTTCTGATCACATAGAACTTTCTCTCTCTCTCTCTCTCTCTCTCTCTCTCTCTCTCTCTCTCTCTCTCTGCGTGTGTGTGTGTGTGTGTGTGTGTGAAAAGCTGTAAGATGGTTAGTGTAGCACCATCCTTTGCCTACAAAGGGACAAGGCTTAGATTGTGACACTGTGCCTACCACCTTCCAAATTAGGCAGAGCTTTGAAGATGTTCCTAAATCTCATATTAAACGAATTATTCAATGGAGTACTATAGTGCTGATGCCATGTATCCTTGTCTGAGATGTATTTATTAGCTAGAAAACTTTTACTACAATCTTGAGTAACCACAAAGCATTCTGAAGAAAAGTAACCAATTTTCCCTTTGAATATAATTTTTAATTTTCTTTTTCTAGAGGTTGCTCTTTTGAAGTCAAATGAGCTTCATACATCAATACCTCTCCCCCCTCCCTCCCTGTTTTCATAATGTTTTTATCTGATTCTGGAAAATAACCCTAGTTTTTCCAGTGCTAACATAGGGTTTGTTTCTTAATTGGACCCATGTGTTTTGACCATGTTTCAGACTATTCTGTCAGTCATGGAGTCAGATGATTCCTAGGTGATTGGACTGATCTCACTTCTATAGGCCACTTGAGCTCTTGTAGCCTTGTGGTTATCTTTCAAGTTGCTAGATGCTGTACTTTGGAGCCTTTATAATTTGGCCTCAGGGAAGCCCAGATTTTAATTGGTTGCACTCCCAAGTTTCCAAGCCTGGCTTTGAAAGACAAATCAGTTCAACTAAGAGATAAATGGCATAGAATCAATTGATGCTGATGCAACAGATTTTCCTCCTGGTTTGCTAGGTAACTCCTTCCCATCAAACTCCTCGTTTCTTAATTTTAAACATGGATTTATTGTTTTGTTTATAACTCCACAGAATAGCTAGCAGGTGTTGGGACAGTTGTCTCTAATCCCATATACTCTTGGAGTCCTGAAGAAGTGACTATTCATCTTAACCTGCTTGGTGATATTATTTACTTATTTTAATTATTTATATGGCTACCCAAATTGCAAATAATAACTTTGAATGACTGAGGATTAAAAACACAAAATGAAAGAACTAATAAACAGTAACAAAATCATAACAAAATACAATACAACCAAGACCAAATCCCAATTATATAACATTCCCAAACTATTTCACAAATTCATTCAATTCACTTACCCAGGGGATAAATGGGTATTGAAAGTGTTATAGCAGGCCAACAGGGCTGGGCCATCAAAGTCTGGTTCAGAAGGTAGAGTTGGGAGAGTGGGCAAATGAAGGGGGTGGGGGTAGAAGTATCTCTTCATGACTTTGATTGGCTGATCTGTAAGACTGAAGACAGTTCTGTAAGACTGTTCTCCTAACATTGAATGGAATAGATTGAATGGAATTCATGGACACTGTTTTTTTTTATTGCTTACAATAATTTTTTGAACTACAAGAGTCACATCTCAAGACTTTCTTCTCTTGAAAATTCAGTAGTGCTGGTGCCATAGCAGATTTCTTCCTGTTAATGTTTCAACTTTTCCATGTAAAGCATAATTGGGTCATCTCGCCACTTACCTCATTGACTATGGTCTCGTTGTCTATGAAGTTTGCAAAGGTTACCAGGGGATCCCATGGATCATTCTGGTTATAGATGCAAGTGCTTGTCAATTCTTCTTCTTTCTGCTTAGTGACAGATAGCTTGTACCTAAAGTGGACATAATGTAGGGAAAATGAGAGAGAAAATGTGAGGAAGGAGAGAAAAAACCAGGGTTTTATTGTGTTCCTCAGAAGTGCAAACTAATTCTCTAATTTCCTTAATTCTTAAAAAAAATATATAATACAATGATGAGTCTGTGACCAGATGATCATGGTGATCATTTGACCTTGGTTATGGATTTTATTAATTCACTTGTATTGCTTTTTTAAGTTTAAAAAATATATTTTGATGGGTTTCTTTAGTTTTTAAATTGTCTTAAGTCATCCGAGTCATGCAGCTGATCAATGTACATCAAACAAAGGAATAAACTGCAGCGCCTTTTCTGCTGACATCATTCTTTAATTTAAACAAGATGCTATTTATCTAAAAGGCAAATGTAAGACAATGATAGGCACCTACCTGCCCCAGCTGATAGCCTTTTCCATGTGGCTACTTTGTGGTAAGTGCTTGCCTGCAAAGCTGATGATCTGGATGCGATAGCTCTGTTTGTGGCCCCACTGGTTTTCATTGTTAGAACTGAAAAGCAGGTACCGTGGGATTTTACCATCAAGTGAGAAAGCAGCTTTTTCTTCTGTTTCCAGGACTTGCTGGGTAAGGATTGGTCTCTGGATTATGTGCTCTGTGCTCCAAGGGGCCTGCACAGATTCATATTCCATGTCAAGGTCCACCAAAGAGTTCTTGACTCCTAACAAACAATCAAAAAGAATGAAGCAAACACTTCCTGTTTTGGAGTCCTGCCTAAGGATACACCTACTTAGAAACAATGGATTAAACACAAAGATCAGTTTAAGACTATGGACAGAATTGCTTATCTTATGTTTGGGAGAGTTTCTTACAAATTCACAATACAGCCTTGTTCAATTATAATTTTTCAGGATCTGTGGTTCAACTATAAATTGGGAACAATGGAAGCCTACTCAGACAATTGTTATAATACCTTATTATAGGTTACCTTATTATACATTATAGGTCAGAGGTCTCCATTAGCAACTTTAAGACTTGTGGACTTCAACTCGCAGAATTGCCAATTTTGGGGACCCCTCTTATAGATCTTCCTTGCAAACAAACATCAACCAATAAAATCTTTGTCATAGGGCACCTATTCTATTTGGAAGATAACATGAGAGATCTTTTCAGGGGTTGCTTTGAAATTCTCTTCCTCCAGTGATGATAGAACTGAGATCCATTTGCTTTTTGTGGTCTAACATAATAGAATATATGTGAAATAATTATTTGCATTGTACAATCTTTTTGTTTTTCCTTTCACAACTCCTATAGTTATTATGATATGGACAGACTTCAGCTGATGGGACCCAGGTGAGAGAAATAAGTTCCATCAGTGGTACAAAATGCTTCCTGGGTAACATGGCAGGTTGTTTATTATTCTATGGGCTGGTTACATATGTACAAATGTGTTAAATTGCCATAGGTTCTAACAACTTGAATAATAATAATAAACAGAAGAGAAATCAGTTAGTTTCATACTTTAAGGAAATATATACTTTGGCCATAATAATAATAAATCATACAAAAAGGGGTTACCAGGAATAGTGCATACAGTGTTATGCTTATTAGTAAAAAAATAAGATATAAAAGTGCACTCACTGGTAGAAAATGGCTTGCAAAAATCTGCACAGTAAAACTGTGTATTCACGTGGTCTATTAGGAGCAGGAGTCACAATTCTGAAGATTTTGTTTTGAAAATTACAAACTTACACAAATGGATTGTAATGAGTTTCAGGATGGAAAAATACAAAACTGAGCAAAATGAAATTGACCAATTTATGCGTCCTTGATTTAAAAGAGGACGCTAGTTGGGCTTTGCCCGAAAAGCCTTGCCAATCTACAGTTAATCACACACAGAGATCTATATTTAGAAAGTCCTGGAATCGCTCAGTGTTATTGTCTGCACACAGAATGAGAACAGAAGAGATGAGATGTCCTTTCCCAAGATCAACTCTTTCCAAATAAAGAGCAAAGTAAAACTTTCTCAGATTGAAAGAATAATCACTAACTCTACCTCTTCTCACAAGAAGGGAATATAGTGAAATGCAGCTTTTGGAGACAAAAGACTTTCCCATTTACAAGATGAAACTAATCCAGAATTATGCCATCTACATGGAATCATATATCATAATGACACTTCTGCATTGTCTCTTCCTCATGGTATCCAGTTGTTAAGATTAGTCACTGTTGCTTATCTAAAATTCACATATTATGCTGGCCCAGAGCAGTTCTGCTGAATGACATAAACCATTAGATACTAAATCCATTGCAGCTTCTTGCCATATACATGCAGAAGAGTATCCAAACACAGAATGTATTTTCAGGCTGAAGACTATGCTGGGCTTTATCTTCCAGAGCCTTCATTCCAAAGAAATATGCAGAACCAAGGCAAAATAAGCTTGACACAAATTAAATTTAACTTCATTGCATTTTCATTTATATATAATCATGATTTACAGAAAATGATTACATCCCAAACACTGAATAATGCACTATTTATTCACAATAAACATTTACAATGCTGTGATAACTTCTGAGGCCAGAGCTGTCTTTCAGAGAAAGGCATTTGTCCCTGCGACTGAGGCATAAAAGCAGCTGCTGTAGAAAGGAATCCACATATTTGATAATCTTCTGGATTCTTTTGCAAAGATGTTTGCAAAAGGTGATCATGTGACCCTGTCCTAAATATGAGTGAGTTGCCAAGCAACTTTGATCATCTGACCACAGGAATGCTGCAACAGTCATATGTGTGAAAATGGTCATAAGTCATTTTTTTCAGTGCCATTGTAATTTCAAATGGTCCCCAAAACAAGAAATGGGATATGCAGGTAGTCTGCTGTAAATCAAGGACTATCTATATTTCACTCTTTCAGCTTCAATCTCTCATAACTTTGTTCAAGAACTGAAGGTAGTATGCACAGAGCCTCTTCCTCCATTTCCCTCTCCTCATCCCTACCTCAAAAAAACCCCCTAGCCCTGTGAGGTAGGCCTTCATAGTTTAGGGTGAACTTAGCTTAAGCTTATCCATTTCCAATTCAATTTTTTAACTACTAAATCACATTAGTTCCATCATTCATCAACGATGCCAAAATAAATCAAACAATGATTTAGGCTGAATGAAACTCATTTGAATGTCTAAATTCTCTCCCTTCCTCCCTCCTTCCCTCCCCCCTCTCATTTATCTACTGTATCTTCTGCATGCATAGTCATAGAAAGCTCAGGATTTATCTGGGGTTGCAAACGAGATAAAATAAACCTTATAGTAGGGGAAGGCTGACCAAATCACCATAGAATGGCAGTTTATGGGAGTTAGGGAAATATAAGAACTTACCTTCTACATCTAAGTCAACTTTATAATTTATCAGATGGTTGTGCATGGTTCCAAGTGTGTACTCCCCAACCTTGTTTCCATACTGAGTACCACCTTCCATAAAAAATGAAGAGCTGATGTATCCTGTAGCATGGACTTTGACTTCGATGGCACCATTTTGATAGAATACAAAATCCCAGACATAGTCATAGTTAATGAGGGTAGAAACAGTCCTTAAGACCAAAGCATATTTGGCTAACCCCTCATAATAAAAAGAACCCAAATTAGAAAAATGGCGACGCAGAGGGACACCCATGTCATGTTCAAAGATGCAGAAGGAGTTCTTGTTTAGTTTGGGAGTGTCAGAGTCTATTAGGTAATGCCGATCCACATATGTGGCCATGTAGGGGCAATCCACACCCCGGACTAGTTCATAAGAAAACCTTCCAATGCCAAGGCTACCATCCATGTATCTGGTCACCATTCCTCCAGGACAATTGGAACCATAAATGGCAAGAGCTTCTTGCAGACTCAACTCATAGACAATCCTCTTATTTTTAAATCTGATGTTGAAAAGACGTGGCCCTGTGTTCACATTCATCCCAAAGGTAAACTCCCATAGCTGATAGGTAACATGGCTGCCAGTTACAGTGTAGCGCTTTCCTGGGGTCTCAAATTGAAATGGGCCTCGAGAAGGTGCTACGGGTTCAAATCGCTTCCTGGAAGCATATTCCATCTCCAGCTGACTACTCTTAATTCTTGCCTCCTTCACCTGTCCATTCTTGAACTCTTTTTCCAGATGGACCATATCCTGATAATAGTGTCCATTATAGAATACTTTCCTCAGTTTCCATTCAGAGATGTTCAGACTGCTGTGATCCACCAGCATCTCCAAGCCAATAGGATGGATGTAATATCCACTGCCAATCACATTCTGGAAGAGGACAAACCAGGTGGCTCTTTCACCAGACTCAAATCCTCTTGGAGCTGTGGTTAGAGTAGCTAAATCAAGCCTCTCATAATTACAGCATATTTTGAGAAAGTTGGAGGTGTTGAAGAGTTCATGAAAAATGAACAAGTCAATATCTTTATATTCCCTCTCAGTCACTGGTCTGCTGTGATATGGAACCTTCTTGCCAAATTTCCGCATTGTAATGTCTCGATGGTACATTGGATCTGGAAGTGGACCTACTACAAATTCTGTAATGTTTGGATCTGACTGGCTTCCAAAGTATACCACAGCCAATGCCTGCCGGGGTAGCTCTTCCCTTCCACGATCAAGAAAGCCCAGAACTTTGGCTTTAGGCGGGAAATATACATCCATATAATAAATGCAATTATCTGATGGTTTTGCATGAAATGCATCTTCCAGGTACACCCCGAGATTCTTCTTGAGATACTTCACCACCTGAGTCATTTCATCAGCTGTCAGATCAACAAAGACATCACTTCGTTCTCTGTTGGGCCTCTCAGAGGAAATTGGTAGTTCAGAGTAGACACAACTGGTGACTTTTTTTCCCTTCTTTGTCAGCAAAACGCAGACTAAAGCAAAAATTGTAGCCAGAGCTAGCACCAAAACAACAACTAGCACTTTTATATTCATGTTAGCACAGTAAAGGCAGCAGTGATAGCACACAGCCAGTCTGTGCTTTTCTAACAGGAAAGTGTCTGGGTGGGTGGATGAGAGGAAGAAAAAATATTGCTCCATTCAGAGTAAGAGGAGGGACCTGAGCTAAGAATGCCTAGGGGCTTTACAAGAGACCATAAAAAGGCGGATTTTCATTTGGTTTCTTTTTCTTCCCCACGCCTTCCCTTCCTCCCACCATTTCTTCTGTATCTCCTTTGATACTAGCCTTATAAGCTTCTCCGGACCAAGGATGCTTGAAGAACACACTGGGCTTGGGTCCAGAAGGGTCAAAGCAAAGATCAGTTAGTGCACAGAAGCTTCCCAAGAGCACTGGGAACATTGCACTAACTAGGAAGAAGGTTCTCAGAGCCAACTCACACATAAATATCCAGTCAGATTATTCTAAGGATATTGTGTTCCCATTATTTCCTTGCTTATTTCCAGAAACACAGATCTAAATTTTCCACTGATAATCCAGTTGCCCTCTATTTATAATCTAGCTGTTCTAGTGTTTTAGACCTTTAGATTTTAAGACTTAAAAGGTTGATTGAACAAGACACTGTCAACTGGAATATAAAATAAGGTATTTGGGTTGGTGGACATCTAAGACATCTAGCCTAGGAATGCTTTGATTTGTAGTCCATCTACTAAAATTCTTATGTCTATAAGAAAGCTTATTATTATTATCTCTTTTATTTATTAAACATGAAACTCAGTCAACTGAACATTTAAAAATGTTTCACAAATATCATTGACTACCGCTGATGGTTGCTATGGGTTGTTACCAGCATCCTAGGTATCAACCAAGTATCGTCTTAAAAAATGTTCTGAATAGCACAGTTTTTTGCAGTTTCGTTGTTGTTGTTGTTATTGTTGTACACAAAAATGACAGTATACACAGTAAACAAGATAACCATAACAAATCACTAGTCGAACACTTCCCAAGTGTTTAGGACTGCTTGATGTATTGGCGGATTATATGAGCAGATCCCAGTAAAGTGGCCTTCTGCAGCTGACCAATGGGGATCTTGTCAGCGCCAATTGTTTTTAAGTGCTTGCCTAAGTCTTTAGGCACAGCACCCAGTGTGCCGAGTATCACTGGAACCACCTACACTGGTTTATGCCAGAGTCTGCAGTTCGATTCTCAACTCCTAATATCTGGTGACTTTTTCAAGTTGTTTCTCGTCGATTCTGCTATCACCAGGCATGGCAATGTTGATGATCCACATTTTTTTCTTCTCCACAATCATGATATCTGGGTTATTGTGTTCCAGAACTTTGTCAGTCTGTATTTGGAAGTCCCACAGTAGTTTTGCTTGCTTATTTTCGACCACTTTTTCAGGCTTATGATCGCACCAGTTCTTTGCTACAGGCAGATGGTAGTTGTGACACAAGTTCCAGTGGACCATCTGAGTGACTGTGTTGTGACGTTGTTTGTAGTCTGAGCTCAGCTCAGCTTGCAACAGCTCAGTATGTGATCAATGGTTTCATCCGCTTCTTTGCAGAGTCTGCATTTGGGGTCATCAGCAGATTTTTTCTATTCTGGCTTTGATTACATTCGTTCTGATGGCTTGTTCTTGGGCTGCAAGAATCAGGCCCTCTATTTCTTTCTTCAGTGTTCCGTTGGTCAGCCATAACCAGGTCTTTTCCTTATCTACTTTTCCTTGGATCTTTCCAAGGAACTGTCCATGCAGTGCTTTGTTACACCAGCTGTCAGCCCGAGTTTGCATTGCAATCTATATTGAGTCTTGGTTTGCTGCACTTTGAGCAGCTTCCTCTTGTTGACCTCCATCAAAGCTGGTTCAACACTGTCTTTCACATAATCTGCCAGAGCATGCTTCTCTTCTTCGACTGTCTGCTTCACTTGCAAAAGTCCTCTGCCGCCTGCTTTTATGGGTGTCACTACGCGGGTGCAGCACATAGTGTATGGTCATCAGTTTTTTTGTTTTCCTATCCAAGCTGTCCAGCTCTGCCTGCATCCAGTTTATGATCCCAGCAGTATATCTGATGATGGGTATGGCCCAGGTATTTATAGCCTTGATGATGTTACTGCCATTCAGCTTGCTTTTTAGAAGTTATCTGACCCTTTGTGTGTATTCTTTGCTGACCACATTTTTCACTTGCCTGTGCTTGATATTATCCAGCTGCAGTATGCCCAGGTATTTGTAGGCTTCAGGTTGGTGGCACTTGATGGTTTGTCCATTGGGCATTTCAATTCCATCACTTTTTACGATCTTCCCTTTCTTCAGTGCCACTGTGGTGCATTTGTCCAGGCCAAACTCCATGCTGATGTCAGTGCTGAAAATTTGAACTGTATTGGTCAGTGCCTGGATTTCAATTTCTTATTTTCCATATAACTTCAGATCATCCATGTAGAGTAGGTGAGAGATTTTCTGTGAATTTTTAGCAGTTTGATAACCCAGGTTAGTTTTCTGTAAAATTGTTGATGAGGGGTCATGGCGATGATGAACAGCAGAGGTGATAAAGAATCACCCTGGAAAATCCCTCTTTTGATGTTGACCAGTCCGTAGCTTTCACTTCCAATAAACAGTTCTGTTTTCCAGGGCTTCATTGCATTTGCAGTGAAAATACCAATGCACTTGCATATTCCGATGACATCCAGGCACTGGATGATCCAGCTGTGAGGTAGTGAATCAAATGCTTTCTTGTAGTCAATCCAAGTTGTATGCAGATTTATTTTTCGGCTTTTGCTGTTCTCTAAAATCATTTTGTCGATCAGGAGCTGATCTTTTGTGCCTCTGCTTCCTTTTTTGTTTCCTTTCTGCTCTACTGGCAAGATGTCATTTGCTTCTAGGTAGCCCTGGATCCTGTCAGCTATGATGCCGGTCAGCAGCTTGAACATGGTTGGCAGACACATTATTGGCCTGTAATTTGCAGGTGTTGCCCCTTTTGCTGGATCCTTCTGTATCAGGTAGGTTTTCCCAGCTGTTAACCATTCACTGATGTTTCCTGTCTGCAGCATCTCATTGAATTGTTCAGCCATTTTTCCATGCAGGCTGGTCAGGTATTTGAGCCAAAAGCCATGCAGTTGATTGTTGCCAGGCAATGTCCAGTTCTTGACTTTTTTCACCCTGTTGCTTATCATTTCAGTAGTTATTTCCAGTTGGTCCATTTTGTTCTTGGAGAATTTCATCACGAAGTCTCTGATCCAACCAGCATTTTTGTTGTAGCATTTCTCAGTCTCCCATAGGTCTTTCCAAAGCTGAGTCGTTTTTTCAGATTTTTCAATTTTCGTATCCCCCGTCTGATTCAAACTCTGATAGAATCATCTTTGGTCTGATTGGAACAATTGATTTTGTTTGTATTGGATGACTCTGGCTTCGTATTTTTCCATTTTTCTTGCTGTTGCTGTTATCTGCTGCTTCACTATTTCCAATGTCAATTTTTCTTGTGCTGAGCCCATATTTTTTTATCAGATGTTTCTTGATCTTACTGTTCTTCAGCTTTTTCTCCTGCAAATGCTTCAAGTTGCTTGCATCTGCTCGTAGGGCTCTTGATTTTCAACTCCAACCTGATTTTGGATTGTTGTTTTCCAGTCGATTTTCTAGGGGGCTGCGGCTGTTGAATTCCCAGTTCTTCTGTTACTATGACTACTGTTTGTTCAATTGATGTTATCTGGACTGCTGCACGTGCATAGTTTGCATCTAACATCAATGGTGCCAAATGCTTTCTAGGCACAGTCTTCAATGTTGGAAGCCTTCTTCTTTCTGCATTTGTTGCAGCATGTGCCAAGATTTTAGCTTTCAGTTCTTGCTGCCTGGCATTGAGCACTCCTGGTATTTCATTGATGACTTCAGGCCCTTGCTGATCCTGTTTTTGCAAAATATCTGCATTTTCTTTGAATTCAGGCTGTTCAGTGGCTCCAGATGTTACTGGAGTATTTTTTGCTGCCACTTCAGCAGTCTGCTGTTCAGCAGTCTGTGTGCCCGTTTCACAATTTTTCCATATTTCTTCAAGTTCGATTTCACTGAGCACTTTGTTCCGAGTGATGAATCGTTGTTGATCGGCTAATCATAATTCAGTTATCCTTGAGTCTGGATATTCTTGTTTCCATAACTTGTACATCCTTTTCGGGTAGCCTTGTTTTTCTGGCATTGTATTTCATTACAGTGAGGTTCTCTGACATGGTGTCGCTTCTGAGGTTGTTCAGCTTCCAGTAGCCCTGCAGGCCCATGCCCTGGTTGCTCAGCTTTGGCCTGTAGCCCACTTGTCGATGGATGCCCAGGTTCCCCAGCACCTGACACGGTCCTGGTTAACCTGGGCGATGACCAAGCTAGTATAGGCTTTGTTCGGTTGTGTTTCATCATGATTCATTGCATGGGTTGTTGGGTGCACTCAGTTTTGCTCCTTGGCCTAGACCTCTCTAACATGGTTGGACCTGCTGGTAGTTTGTACTACCGCCAGCACAGCTCTCAGCTTTATTGGAACAGTTAAGCCCCTGCCACTCCAAAGTGGCACCCCATAGGGGGATAATAATAATAATAATAATAATAATTATTATTATTATTATTATTATTTATTTAAAACCTAGATAGGTTTGGTGGTGGGGTGACTCCAGGCCTGACAAGCATTTTGGAGGGACATGGCAATAATCACAGACTTGAAAGCTACTGTGCTGTGTGTTTATATTTCCTCAAGTCTAATGACACAGCACAAGGTTTTGTCATCACAATATGGCTATTTGCCAGGCATCTAAACCTCTCTTTTAGATTGCTTTTCTTGGGCTGGATCAGTGCAAAAAATAGCAGTGTTCAGCTCCTAATTCTGCGTTCTCAATTTCTGGAATGTTAATTTGAAAGGTACAGAATTTCGATCCTGAAATTCAACAAAAATAAACCTTAGAAGTGATGGCTTTGCAGGTTTAGATCCAAGTAGTTATATTTTACCAACCCCCACCCCCAAAGTTTACATACCAATGTTTCATGTCCTCAGAATCAAGGTTCTGAGACTTCACATTGGTCTCTTGCCTTTCCTTTTTCAGTTCACCTATTAAACATTTCATGATAGGCAAGCCACTTCTCTTCAAAAGACTATGAAGTGCCGTCTCCCCCCAGCCACTAATTATTTCCTTTACAGCTATTTTATCTGATCTGCTTGATTGGTAAAAACTGTGGACCTTTCTTAAAAAATTACAATAGTGTAACACATTAAAAACTGGTCTTTTGAAGATATTCCCTGAGAGTAGACCTTGTTTTCTTTATAAATCAAGTGCATCTAAAAAAGTTTTGCTACATGGACTCTACCTGAATTCAGTAACCTGGCAAATAGAAATAGACCTGGTATCAGCTAAAAAGATACTCCTTTGGTCTTTTTAGCTGCCAGAAAAAGGGAGTGTGGGAAAACAAGGCATTCTTGAAATGCCTAGATATCAACTCAGCAGCCTAAAGTTGTCAGCGCATAAGAAGGTTATTGGAGAGCATGGTGGATGACTCTTGGAGACTGATGTGTCCTATTGGAGAAGTCACATCCAGGGAGTGGGGGAAAGACCAGGGTCAAGGGGGAAATGTATGATGTGATTTAGTACTGGCTGCACCCAGCCATGCACTAACATGGCAATTTCTATTAAACCAATTTACTTTTTCTGAGATGTGTCTAGAGACTTTTGCTTTGAACAAGGGAGATTTGTTGGAGCCCTGACAGCCAGCCGGTACTAAATCACATCATATATTTCCCCCTTGACCCTGGTCTTTCTCCCAACCCCTGGATGTGATTTCACCCGGCCTGCCAAAGCAACAAAGTAATTTCAAAGATGTGGCCTGGATGTTGAAGACCAGTGAGTGAGCTAGTTTGAGATCCAACTAGACCCAAACCCAGTCACAAGGTAAAAATTGCATATCAAGTAATGAAGCCTATCTAGCCCACCAAGAACCAGTTAAGAACACGGCCAAGGTGAAAAATAAAGCAAGGGGCTATTTTCAAAAGGGTCTAGATAGGAGCCTAGCGGAAAGTCACAAAACACTGGGTCATGAGCTATCCCCCTCAGGTTTTTTGGTGAGTATATGAGAAAAAAAAGAATGGGTATGTGTGTGTGTGTGTGTGTGTTTTTAAACATCAATATTTCCACATTATGATAGAAACAGAAAAAAAATTAGGGAATTTACAGAACACTGTGTGCTGTTTCATCAATTAGCAAGAACTATTTGACTGTCCCCAAACTTGGGGGAGGCCTGATACTTCATTGGAAATCAGTTCATGATCACTGACCAAAGCTGTGTCTCCGGCATCTCAAGATGAATAGTACACAAAAACCTGATAAGAGTGATTCTATATTGTTCTCAAAAAAAAAAAAAAAACCATTAGGAAACAGATAGCAACACAAATAAAAATTCTTACTTTAAGATCAGAAGTTTATTGTTTCTAATAATTTGGAACGTAAGAAATAAATAGATATAAAAGATATAATAGCAATAATACACTTATATTAATAAGCCATTGCAATGGGGTCCAATGACACATAGCAAGTCCTGCAAGGACTGCCATAAATCAAAGGGCCGCAAGCTGATCTCCAACCCTATCCTTTATACTTTTCTTCTAACCACATACACGCTTCACAATTTCACTACCTGTCACATTCTGTAAACACCTGTGTACATTACTTTCATCATTCATCGTTTCCAACAGTTTCATTCTTCTTGTTTTAAACTTATCCATCCAAGTGCATACTTTGCAAAAATATGTTTTCACACTCAGCAATGGCTCAGCAGGATTGCAAATAGTTCTGGTATATTTTGAAACCATCCTAGCTGAAAACTTTGGTTCATGTCTTTTTCTTCTGGGGCCTGCTATCATCCATAGGATTTATTGAATCTAATAGATCAATAAGCTATATTTTTGATTCTCACAATCACCACTTCTTGTTCATAAGAGCAACACAAAATGAAACATACAAAGCAGTATCTGCACATAAGCTACCTTATATCAATTATGGAAGTAAGTGAAATAAACCAAAATCCTAGGACTGATTGAATCTAATAGATCAATAAGCTATATCTTTGATTCTCACATTGTGTAGCCCCTGTGACAGGGATAATGGTAAAAATGTGGTGATTTTTGTGTTTGTAGTAGCCCCCACATAATCAAATGGGAAGATATTGAGTACAAGGAGGAATTCACAAACAAGAGCTGGTACAAAAGTGGAAAGCACATGTTCTTGAAAACTCATGGAAAACACAGTGATCAATTGGTACTTGTTTTCCAAGTACAGATAGGTGGAATCCATCAATTGCTAACATGGGTTGGACAGAATACCAAAGCTATTACATTGAATAAAATGGAGGAAAAATCTGAAATCTGTAAAAAGCTGTCTTAATCCAGCTTCATTTCCTTCTGATTTATACAAAGAAATCAAGTAACTTAAGGCTAGAGCATGAGAGTGGCAGAAAATGGGCCACATTTATATTAAAAATTGATATTTTGACTGCTACACCCAGGACTGATTAGATATGGCTTCTCAAACTACTTGCTGATTCCTGCCAGTTCTACAAAAGCATCAATAGGTCTTTCCTATTACCTCAGGTTGCAAAGTTTCAAATTCTTCCTATTTTGACGGAAAATGTATAGCAATGCCATATATTTATTTCCCACATATCTCCATAAATATGCAGAGGTTACTTCAGGTTTTGAAACAAAAATATAGCAAAGAATGATAACTTAAATGTATGAAAACCTTACAGTGGCCACCCAAAGGTTGGGGGAAGATTCAGAGTTGTCCAATTCTCTAATTCAGGAGTGTCAAACTTGCGTTGTCATGTGGCATATCATGACTCCCCCCCCACACACTTCGCTAAACCAGGCATGGATGTGGCCAGCACGTAACACATTCAGTCCACAGGCCATGAGTTTGACAGCCCTGCTTTAATTCAAAATTAAAAATATGGAGTATTTTAAAAAGGACTATTCTGGAAGGGTGATTAAGTTCCTATTTATCACAGCCAGCTGAAAAACAAAGTTAATCTCTCTCCTAGGTTTGGACAAGAGTCATTAAGTAAGGGATACTTAGCTCTAGGATTAGTCCTAAGTATGTTGCAATTGGGGCATAATCCTAATCTGAAGTTACCAGTTTTGGAAAAGCCGTTTAAATATTCCAGAGGCTTGTTCTAGGGCAAATGTTCATAGTTTTGCTGTGAATTTGTGATCCTGAGTTAGCTTTATTATTATTATTACCTTTATTGTCAGAGTACAACATGTGTATAATGAGCCTTCCTTTGTGCAGCCTCCCCAACACAACTCACAGTGAGGACAGAATTCTCTAACCCAGTCCCAATCTTATTACACTGACTTTGTTGCATAATGTGTTGGCCCCACAAGTTTATCATACTATGTTGACATGAAGTTATCTTCCATTCAGAAGTCTGACAGCCCACAGGTAGAAACTGTTCTTCTGCCTGTTGGTGCGCTGGCTATGCTTCTGTATCTCCTACCCAATGGTAGGAGAGTGAAGAAGTGCTGACTGGGGTGTGAGTTGTCCCTGAGAATTTTCCTTACTTTTCTAAGGCAGCGAGTCCTAGCGATGTCATCTAGTGCAGGGATTGCCAACATTTTGGACCTCAGGGACCACCAAACTCATAATTTTAAATCCCGTGGACCACTAATATGAATTTTGACTGACGGTGGGCTTGCTGACGTTGGTGGGAAAGTCGGTCCCATATTCCAGAGCTGCAGTAGTCACAGGAGTGGCCCTCCAGTGGTCCCCGGAGCAGCTGCTCCTCCATCTGGGTGCACCAGCCTGCCATGGACTGGAGGAGCTGCTCTGGGATGACCAAAGGGCCAGTCTTGTGACTGCTGCAAGCTCTGGAATATTGTTTAAGGGGAAATTTTTTTACAATACCATGGTTGCTTATGCGGGCACATTTTTATTGAAGCACCTTTATGACAGCATTCAGCCTCTGAGGATAGGATGGCGCAACTTTGCCTTGGGAACCTTTGCCCATTCTTCCTTTGGAAAAGCACTCCAAATTTGTCAGATTGTGAAAGCCTCTCCTGTGCCCAATCCTCTTCAGGACATCCCTCATCCCTCAATTTGATTCAAGTTTCCTTCCAAAGTTTCAGTCCAAAACTTTAATCTTCTTCTGGTGAAGCCATGCTTTTGTTTCGCTTTGGGTCATTGTCATTGAAAGTTGATATTCCTCTTCTTCAGCATTTTAGCAAAAGCCTGAGGCTTTTGTGCAAAAGTTGACCAATATTTGGAACTCTTTATAATTCCCTCAACCCTCACTCTGATTAAGCCCCAGTTCGAACTGAACAAAAGCAGCTCCAAAGCACAACACTGCTGCCACCATGCTTCACTGTGGTGTACTTTAATTTTCTTATTTTTTCATCAGTTTTCGAGGATCTCCAGTTCTTGGTAATATCACTGTTGTACCATATTTTTTCCACTTGTTGATGACTGTCTTCACTGTGTCCATGGTATAATCAATGTTTTATAAATTTTTGTACCATTCTCCTTCCAATAGTGAGGTCTCTTTGATGCTTTAGAAATCCTTTGAAGATAGACAGATAGTTTTGCTGTAAGAGGCAACTGAGTAAATGTCAAAAAGATTCTACTATAATATTTGAACTTTATATGGGCTTCATCAAAGGCATTTTAATAGGTGGCTGGTGTGCACTGACTACTATTTAACATCAGTTTGAATGTGATTGGTTAATTCTGAACACAGCCACATCCCTATTTATAAGGAGGTGTGTACACTTATGAAACCATGTTATTGAATTTTTTTATCTGCCCCCCGGAAAAAAAGATTTCAGTTTGTTTTCCAATAAAATTGCACAGATAATATGTTATATTACAGGTAGAAAAAGTTCTGAAGTGATTTATTTTAGTCTGATTTTTTTACATCTCAAAACTTGACTTTTTAACAAGAGGATGTAGACCTTTTATATCTGGTAGGTAGGTAGGTAGCAAATTACCAAAATACAGATACTAGTTGGATAGATGGATGGAAGGATGTTAGATAGATAGATAGATAGATAGATAGATAGATAGATAGATAGATAGATAGAGCAAATGGTAAATATACTTGACAGATATATCTAATATTATCTTCAAGTAAAAAATTAACAGGAGAAGCAGTTGGATTAAAAAAAATACAACAATTTGGTAGATAATAAGTTGCAAACACAAGTGAATACAATGCCAACAGAGCTAAGATTTAGGTGAAACACTGTCAAGAATAAAGGTCTCAAAATTGCTATCTTACACACAGATTTTGTGCTCGACTATTTCCAGTACAAACAGCAGCATTGACTCAAAATCTGGACAGTATCAGAGCTTTGTCTGATTTTCGAAACCTTCATAAGTGAAGGGTGGAAGATTGGGCACGCAAGCAGCTGTTTTAGGGAGGCAAGCAATATGGTTGATCTCACAGGAGTTGAAGTCATCCTTGTCAGTGAAGAACACACTATCAGGCGAGTCAATGGAGGGGTCATTGTCAAAATAATTATAAGGTCTTAAGATGAAGCCAATTGCATTTGCAAGTGTCACGGTGTTAGGAATATCCTCCGCATGGGGAATATGTAGAAATCCGGTGGTGATCCAAGCAACCAGATCCTAGTGAAAGACCATAAAACAGGGCAATCTGATTAAAAACATGGAAGGGAAATTTTGGAATAGTCATTCCAGTCACACGATTAGGAGGGAAGGAGCTTAAGAACGGAGCACTCAGCAATATTCCAAGGCTCTGCCAACTGCCTCTTATAAAGGGAAGATATGGGGAAATTATTCCTGTTTGTTCGTTTCTTTCCTGCAGAGATCCCAGATTGATTTGACCCATTTTGGAAGTCCTCCACCTTCTTTTTGTTAGTTTCCCCCATATTATCAAATTTAGTCTCTCTTCTCCCTGTGTTGTTTGACTTCCTGCCCTTCCTGTTTGTATTCCAAAGCACTTTTTTTTTCATTTGCCCCATGCCGAACTGCGCAGATGTTTTAGTAGGAAAAGTATGCCAAGCATGGCTTCTGGTATTGTTTCTAACTTCTTAACAACTATGGACATAGGACACTGTATTTTCTTCTGTTACTGAAATAACACATTTTGTGTGTGTGTGTATGTGTGCATGTGTATTCTGTATGAATGCATTTGCTGGGAAGATTAGTTAGCTGCCTAAGCTTCACTTTGGGTAACATGACCAGGAAGGAAAAAGTTTCCTGTGAGGCATCCAATCAAGTGAGTTTATGCTTATGAGAATAAAATAAGGTGTGAGATTGAGGAAGGCAGACTCTTCTGAAAGACAAAGATCTGTGAACTGTTCATAAAAACAAAAGAAACACCATTTTTGTGCACCCACTTACTCTGTAACCTTGTTACTGAAAAACAAACTACTTATCTAGCCTCACTTTTTGCATGCCTGCTGTTAGGAATTGATAGACACCTAACAGTTGGGTTGGAAATATATAAACCAGGATAGACATTTAATACTGTCTCTTTAAGGCAATGCTAAAATTGTAATTGGGTGTGGTTCCTCAAATGGCCATAAGATGGACACAGAAACCTGGTTTCCTATATGTCCTGTTGATAGTTGCTAGGTGGCCGATGTTCTGATGTTTGCTGTCTTTGGTTCCTGAATTTTTTCCTTATTGACTGTTGCTGATTGTCGTCCTTCTTGGATTGCTGTAAGGCTGTTACTGAACTGTTTTTGATACTGGACTTTGATATTTGGATTATCCCTGAACTGGGAAACTGACTGCTTTAACCATGTATGACTTGGACTGCTTGTTGGACTTTGCTTAACTGTTTACTGGAAGTAAAACCTACATTTTACTATTCAGTGTATCTGTGTGCTGGTCGTGTGTTATTCAACATCAGTCTCACTACGTCTCCCTGTGTGCACTCATTCTCCTAATGGGGAATTACCTCAACACCTGCTAAAGAGAAGGGCAATTTTTGGTGTGGGGAAGTAGATTTGTTTCTTTGAACCCAAATTCAGACTCTCAAGTGACCTCTCAGCAAGACTTCGCTCTCCTGAACATTTTTCAATTGTGCAATCAACTCTTGTGTCTGTCTTTGCACTGGACTCCTCATTCCTCTTGGTAAGCTGCTTATAAATCAAGCGGATACATTTTTGTTCAGTCTGAAATAGGGCAACCAGCACAAGATAGAAAAGAGAAATCTTCCCAACTCCCTAATAATATAATACACTTGGGAAGCTGTAGGCCGGTCAAATTATTTTAACACAATGATATAGAACTTTCTGGGAAAACACTGAATTTTGGCTACAGATCATTCTGAATACTAAATGTTCCAAGTTTGGAATTGCTATTTCAAGCATTCTGGTTATGAATACCCTCTTCTCCCCACTCGCTTAGAATTTGTCCTAATTTGGGATAAAACTGAGTGTTTTTCCCCCTGTTATTTTCAAAATTTCACTGTCATCTTTTTAAAAAAACCCTCTTTCCAAGCTATGGAGATTTGAAGAATATAATAGTAAGAATTTAGAGGAAAAGAAGAAAAGTGGGTAAAGGACAATCAGTTCAACCCATAGTGAAATGGGAAAGACTTTGGATTGCTGCATCATGGAGAAACATGAGAGCTAACAGATTAATTTGGAAGCTGAACTTCATCAGTATAACCAACCAGTTTAAATTAACTTTATTAATTAAACAATTGATTACACTAATGAAGTTCAGCTGCCAAATTAATTTGGTCACCTTTCCTCTTACCCCAGTTCCTGTATCTAATACACTAGTGTTGTAATTCTAATTAGTTAAGCAGTGTAGACAGTACTTAATGAGTTGAAATGTGACATAACTGTTCTTGTGCAGTGTGTGTGTGTGCATAGTATTTTCTTTTTCAGGAAGCTTGTCAATTCAAAGTACAAAATGTTCATGTGCATAAACAGATACTTCCTGTAGCTGTGCTGTGTTTTGTAGGCTTGTTGCTGTCCGCAAAGAATATTAAATAGTACAGAAAAAGAATTTCTGAGCTTTATTTGTGTGCTTAAACTTTTGGTCAAAAGTTTTTGTGTTGTTTTTTTTTTTTTGCAGGTAGGTTGCCAAATCAGAAACACATGCATTGTGAGTATTTTTCTGCTGTTTCATTGTTTGTAGGGTGTACTGAAATGAATTGATGGCTGTTTCTTGCTTTTTTATTGGGCTCAGTTCTGGGCTGCAAAAAGCATGCTTATCTGTTGGTTCTATTGTTCAATGTTGGAATTTAATTTTCTTTTAAAGCAAACTTTTTCATTCTTTCTGTAAGTCAGATGGCATGTAGCATTTATTGTGAACTATTACCCCACTTATTTTCATGACTGTGACATAAAAGATAAAAGATATGAGCTTTGTTTTGCATTCTTATTTTGGAACATAGCCCACTTAAAATTTGCAGGGTAATTTCTAGTGGCTGAATTTCAAGAGTATTATTTTCAACTTGAAAACATGTGAGACATATGAAGGATAACTAGTTTACATACTAGTAGAAACTAATACACCTTCTCTGTAAAAGAGAAACTGTATTAATTTCCATGTGAAACAGTTTTCACTGACATTTATACTGAATGCTCAAATATCTTTAGGGAAGCCCCCAAGATTTCTCTAATGATCTTGGTGAAGTAGGGGAAGGATATCCAGTGTGCTCATACAAGTGTTCTGGATTCATAAAGCCCAAAGAAGGCTTGAGAGAAATGAGGTATTTATGTAGGAGAATATGCAGGCAGAACATAATTGTTTCTTTAATCCTTTCATAAATGTAGATTCTTCTCTGAAATTACATATGGGAACTTATAGCAGGGAAAATTAGATATAAAATATAAACAATTAAGATATAAGATATAAAAATTAGGGGAAACAATGGCATTCATATTAGAAAATTTATTCTGCCTTGAAAATGTATCTCTTGTTATTGTGCACTGTCTGGAAGACAACCAGCTTTATTTCATAATGTGTCTTTTCTCTCTGAAAAGGTATGGAAGGCATGGAAGTTATCTTTTTTTTTTGTCCTATGTAGAATGTGAAAGATTTCCTGTGTGATCAGATGTAGGATTTTTGTCAGAAAGGAAATCTGGCCAGAACAAACATTAGCTACATGGAAAATGGACTGTTCTTCATTCCCACCCACTATTATTTACAACACTTAGCCACAACCCGCAGAGGGATTCTGTGGAGTCTACTTATTTTCATTTAATGTATTTAACAACTAGGGATTTCTTGCTGTATCAGCATTTTTAAAAAATCTGATTTGCTAACAAAATATTTTTAACTCTTGGAAGTTCTCTAGATTTGTATCCTTCTAGTGTAGATAGAATAGCAGAAAATAAAAATACTATAGAGACTAGAAAAGTAAAAATTAAGAACATCCTTTTCAGCAGTTCTGATCATAAACAATAGATTTTCTAAAAGTGGAATATGAGCGGAGCAAAACCACTCAGCATTAATACTTCACTGTACATATCAAACCAAGTTAAATACAATCCCCATGTGGTTATCAAATTCATTCTGAATTTTCAAAATATGCTACAGCAGACAGCAGAACGAACAAGATTTCTTGGAATTGCACATTGCTCTTCCTAAGTTAATACTAATAAACAGCCATAGAAAAGAGAGGGGACGATCGGTTTGTCTAGTATCCAGCCAAGAGATGTCCAACCTCTGTGTGGGTTTGCTTGGAAAAAGGGGAAATATCCCCTCTTGTCTCCCTCAGGATCTAACAACTCACCTCATCAACAATGCTCTCATTATTTATAAAGTCTGCAAAGGCAACAGTAGGTGTCCATGGGTCATTCTGATTATAGATGCTGGAACTGCAAGGTTCTTTCTCCTTTCGCTTGGTGACAGCCAGCTTGTACCTAAGGAGCAGAAGTGCAATAACAAAAACATTGTTGAGCTGGATGATTCCATCACGTTCATAGGCATGAAATAAGTTTCCCTAATGTTTATAGGCAAAGTAGCTCCAAAGACTCTACAAAAATTGGCAAAGCTTATCTGAATACATGCCTTTCCACAGTTGCTCACAATGTAACACAATGTACAGATGGTCCTTGATTTGTGACCATTCATTTAATCACCATTCAAAATTATATGGGTCCTGAAAATATAATTTATAGCCAGTCCTTGTATTTACAACTGTTGCAGCATCCCCACAATCAGATGATCAAAATTCAGGTGCTCATCAGCTGGCATGCATTTTAACGGTTGCAGTGGTCTCTTGATTGCCATTTACAATCTTCCTGGGGATCTTCTGAGAAGCTGGGCTTGCTTAATGACTATAGGATTCACTTAATGTGTGAAAAAAAGATTATAAAATGGGGCATTATTCACTTAATGATTGCATCGCTTAGTTGACAAAAAAAAATCTAGTGCTAATTGTGGTTATAAGTCAAGCTGCCTGTTTAGCAATAAATGTATTCTTAAAACTATTGTACAGGTAGTACTTGACTTACGATCATTTGTTTAATAACAGTTCAAAGTTACAATGACTTATGACCTGTTCTCAAAGTTATAACAGTTGCATTACTTCTTCAGTCACATGATTGCAATATGCAACTTTCCTAGCTGGTTTCCAACAATCCAATGGTAGAAATCAGGTTTGTTTAAAGATGCTTAATGATAAATGAATTGTATGATTCACTTAACAATGGAATGATTCACTTAATAATTGTGATAAAATTGAGTCTGCTCACATGTGACTCACTGATCACATCACTTAGCAACAGAAATTCTGGTTCCATTTGTGGTTGTAAATCGAGGACTGTAAAATTGTAACAAAATTACCCTAGTGCCCACATAAAAGAAATGTGTCAGCACATAAAACACTGAATAAAATAATACAAATACACTGATTCAATCCAACAATTTAAAATTAAGTTGAAGACAGAAGCACAACAAAGATATATGAAAGAAAAAATCATGTCACACACTGATGAATGGTTTTCCATTTCACAAAGGAGTATCGGGCAGCGTATCTCAAGCTTTATGGGTGGGCTTCAGTTCCCACAATTGAAATCCACCCATCTTCAAGTTGCCAAGATAAAAAAAAAACTTTAGATGCTACTAATTAATTTATATGCCCAACAATTCTTTTTCCACTGAGACTTTGCAAGGTCCCTCAATTCATTATTTATATATTAATTATGTTTGTAAACTGTCAATTCTCTCAACTCTGATGGTTTATAATATAGCCATTAAGCAATAAATATATAGATTATATTTGAACAATTATAACTCCATAGTAATAAAACAATAAAAATAAGAAAGTATTGGCACTAACCCAACCATCCAGTCTCATTAACTCCCAAAGAACCTATGGAGCTGCTCTATCTTGGCAGCTTTATAAAAGGATGCTGAAGAATTCTGGAATTCCACCAGACATATGGAAAGGATCTTACACTGCCCTTGGACAACATATGACTACTCTAGGCTTGAACTCTGCATAGAAAGGGATTAATCATCCTCTAGAACACTCTGTTGCTGCTCTGTAGCACATCTTCTCAATAACCTTCCCTGAAAAGGGAACATTGGCAATGTTGTGATTATTATTTAATGTAACCAAATTTTTAAAAAAGCCTTTTCTGAAAAGGCTGCATCAACCTTGTTGAAGGCATTCAGCATAGCTAGACTGAATAAATCTAGTTGTCAAAGTAGGAGGTCGTGAACTCTAGTCCCCCATAAGACATGATAGCTGGCTGAGTAACTATGAGCCAGTCACACTCTCCCAGCCCAGGTCACTTCACAGAGTTGCTGTTGTGGTCAAAATAGGAGGAGGAAGAAATATTAGGATTGTTCACCACCTTTATTTATTAAGGTATAATGAAGACAGGATACAAATAAATAAAATTTAAAAATAGTATCTTTCCCCCAGACAGGCTTGTTTATTGGCCCCAAGTGGTTATAGCCTTATCCTTTTACATTTAGGGCCTGCCTGAGGAACTGCTCCACCTGTTAAACACCTCCTCAGAGCTTAAGATCTATAGGAGAGATCCATTTGAAGATGCCCCTAGTCTCAAAAGCTTATCTACCAGAAATATGGAAAGCATCTTCTTCTTTTTTCTTAGATTCTAGAAGTTGCATTGGGCTCCAGATCTCTCTGCCTTGAGAGAAGTGGTTAAAAAGAGTTAGCAATTAATGCTTTCATAATTTAAGTTATCTGTTTCAATGTTTTTTTCTCTTCATATGTGTCTGTCACTTTAAACTGTAAGTTATCCAGAGTGCCAATTTTGAACAGAAAAGCCCCATTTCAAATCAAGCAAGCAAATTAATAAATACATGAAAGTATTGGACATTGATGCTTAGAAAATGTCTGCTTACCTGCCCCAACTGATAGCTCTCTCCATTGGATCTGCCTCTGGGAGATGGTCTCCAGCATAGCTGATTGTCTGGATTAGGTAGCCACGCTTATGGCCCCACTTGTTTGTGCTGTTTGCTGCAAAATATATGTATCTTGGCATCTTATCATTATGGCGAAAGGCAGCCTTATCTTCGGTATCCAAGACCTTTTTCACTATTTTCATTCTCTGAATCTCATGGCCTGGATTCCAGGGAGCGTTTACTTTCTCAAAAGTCATATCATTGCTAACCAAGGAATTTTTTGTACCTATTGATAGAAAGAAAATGGAAAGGAAAAGAAAACAAGAGAAAGAGATGAGGGAATTTTCTCATTTACCCAAATCACAATACAGCCATGCTTCAATAGCCAATTATTTCTGCCATGTCCTCATGATGTTTCTTTCAGCCCATCTCCGGACCATAGCTGAGATAGTTTCCGCTTTATCTTAACACATTTTTCCCTTTGTGGATATAATCTGGAATACTTCATTTAGGAAGTGATATTGTTATGTCCTTGGAACTCTAGGAGTTCCCACTCAGGTCCGTTCACGTTGCGGGGGCGGTTTCCCCCCTCGCTCATTGGTTGGTTCTCCCCAGCAGCCAGCTATAAAAGCAGGCTGCGGGGTCCAACCAGTTGCTGATCGCTGCGAGCCAGTTCCAGGCTTGGCAAGCACGGTCAGTCCTTTATTGTTATAATAAAGTATTTGTTGCACTCATGCTCTGGTTCAGCCTCTCATTACCCCAACTTAACACTGGCGACGAGGATGGGATGGCTACCAGAAGCACAATGCAACCGCTGAATCACTAGCCGCCAATCCGCAGCCAGAGAGAACGATCGGCCGGCGATAAGAGCAACGCTGATCCGCAGCCAGAGAGAGCGGTCAGCAAGCAACGAGAGCGAACGCTGATCCGCCGCCAGAGAAAGCGGTCAGCAAGCAACGAGAAGCGAACGCTGATCCGCAGCCAGAGAAAGCGGTCAGCCAGCAACGAAAGTGAGAAGCGTCTGTAGCCGCTTGTTAGCCTAGCTACAGGAAAAGTGAAGCGCTGCGAGCCGCAGCCGCTCGTTTCTTTAGGCGCGAAATTCAAACGGCTGTCATTTGAATTTCAAACCTAAAAAGTACAGCGCGGTGCTGTAAGTCAAGTCACTGACGCCCACGCAGGCGCGAATTTCAAAACGCTGCCAACGGCTGGCAGCCTAACCTCGTGTTTGGCCCAGAGAGAGAGAGAGGATTGTGAAAAAGCCTCTCCAGAGCTGAAATCACTTGCCTGCCACAGGCACTAGAAACCTTCTGCTGCTGTCCCAGAGAGATTTTTTCCACAGATTGTACAACCGATTTCCTCACTATGAATTCCAATCCAGTCTTCCCAGCGTTCAAACCGGATGAGGAGAAGTGGGAGTCATACAAGAACTGCTTTAACCATTACATCGACGCAATTGGGCTGGCTGATGCAGGGGAGCACCGGAAAAAATCATATTTCCTGATCTACTGTGGAGCCATCGTCTTTGACACTGCCACAGCACTCATGGCTCCACGTGAGTTAAAAAACGTTCCATGGTCTGAACTGTTAGAAATCCTTACTAACCACTATTCTCCCAGACCTTCACAGATTGCCAGGCGATTCACCTTCCGTATGAGGAAGCAATCAGACAAAGAGACCATCAACCAGTACATGGCCGCCCTCAGGACCGCAGCACTCCATTGTGGGTTTGGAACCTACCTGGAGGACATGCTCCTCGATCAACTAGTCTGCGGGGTCAAGGATCTCCACCTCCAAAGGCGCCTACTCGCTAAGAAGGACCTCAACCTCGCACAAGCCGTCGAGGAGGCCCTGGCAGCAGAACTGGCAGCACACTCAGCCACCGAAATCCATGGTCCAACTTCCAAGCTAACGACAGTTCCAGTCCACTCCGAGGAGGTGGTATTAGAGGAAGCCCCTAGTGATGAAACCGACATCCACCGCCTCACCAACGCCAGGCATCCGCAGGTAGGAGCCAAGCAAGAAAGCATCAGTCCACCCAAGCACATCACCCTGTGCCTATCCTGTGGTGGATCTCATCCGAGGGCCGCCTGCAAATTCAAAGGAGCCACCTGCAACATCTGCCACAAAAGGGGGCACATCGCGAGAGTCTGTCAAGCCTCTCAAAACGCGGCACAAAGGCACCCTTCCTTCTCACATTCTGGACCTCAGAGGCAAGTATTGAACTGTCGCACTCACCACCATGCCAAGCACACTTGCCATACCATTAGTAAAATCTCTCTCTCCATTTTGTTAGAAGGTAAACCATGTCGCATGGAGGTTGACACAGGGTCAGCGCTCTCAATTATCTCGTGGAGCACCCTCAAGAGGCTACAGCCCAGTCTATCAACAAGCCGGCTCCAGAGGTGCCAGTTTAGCCTGAAGGACTACCAGGGGAAGGTCATTCCTGTAATCGGCAGAGGCAAGTTCCTTGTCAATTTTAAAGCTTTCAAAGGTCACCTACCTCTAGTGGTAGTTAACGGCAATCTCCCCACACTCTTGGGGCTCGATTGGTTTCCCCATCTCGGCCTAGGGCTAACAGGAGTCCATGCTGTCTCAACCTCTGACACTGACTCCTTATTCGCTGATTACTCAGATGTATTCAGCGATGAGCTGGGGTGTTATAACGGTACCCCTATCTCATTCTCAGTCGACCCCCAGGCAGTCCCAATCAGGCTAAAACCGCGTAGAGTCCCATTCACTATTCGGCCAAAACTAGATGCAGAATTGGATAAATTATTAAAACAAGGGGTCATTGAGCCAACAGATTTCGCCAAATGGGAGACGCCCATTGTCACACCCCTCAAAAAAGACGGTAGCCTGAGAATTTGCTCGGACTACAAGACCACAATTAATAAGTTTTTACAAGTTAGCGCTTACCCAGTGCCCGTCATTCAGCATTTATTACACACTTTTGAACCTGGCAGCATTTTTGCCAAATTGGACATGTCTCAAGCATATCAACAGTTCCCTGTTGACAGCCAAACAGCGGAACTCCAGACCATTGTCACCCACAGGGGTGCTTTCCGGTGCAAGCGTCTCCAATTTGGCGTAAGTGTTGCCCCAGGCATTTTTCAATCCCTCATGGAGCTGATTTTGCAGGGCCTCCCTGGTGTAGTACCCTACTTCGACGACATCTTAGTCTCGGCCAGGGACAGACCCCAACTCTTCCAGAGAGTTCGAGCAGTGTTAGAGAGGTTCAGACAGCACGGCCTCAAATTAAAAAAAGAAAAATGTGCCATTGCCACTAGACAGGTGGACTTTCTGGGTTATAAAATTGACGCCTCAGGCATTCACCCCCTGGAGTCCAAGGTTAAGGCAATTCACGAGGCACCCACTCCAACCTCCAAAACTGAACTGCAGGCCTTCTTGGGGCTATTGAACTTTTACGCGTCCTTCCTGCCCCATAAAGCATCAGTGGCAGAACCCCTGCACAGACTGTTGGATAAAAAATCGCCTTGGCACTGGGGTCACAAAGAAGACTCCGCTTTTCGCGCCGTCAAATCACTACTCACGTCTGAGGCGGTCCTTATTCAGTTCGAGCCCAACCTTCCATTAGTGCTAGCAGCAGACGCATCCCCTTTCGGAATTGGGGCAGTATTAAGCCACAGGCTTCCCAATGGCTCCGAGGCTCCGCTTTTTTCTCCAGGATGCTCTCTGCAACAGAGCGCAATTATAGCCAGATCGATAAGGAAGCTCTAGCAGCTGTCGCAGCAGTGAAGAAATTTCACGAATTTCTCTTTGGCCACTTTTTCGAGCTGGTCACGGATCATAAGCCTCTCCTGGGTCTACTAGCTGGGGACAAACAGACCCCTCAAGTCCTCTCTCCTAGAATGACGAGATGGACCCTTTTCCTAGCGGCATACTCGTATAGACTCATACACCGCCCAGGTAAAACATTGTCCCACGCAGACGCCCTCAGCCGCTGCCCCTTGCCGGCTCCAGCTGAAGACCCTGCTCCGGTCCACGCTATCTTTGAGGTCACCCAATTGGACCTCCCCATCACTGCCCTTGACATTGCGGCCAAATCCAAGACTGACACAACGATCGCCCAGGTACTGGACTGGGTGAGGAGGGGGTGGCCGGGCGGTGATGTTGAAAACAAATTTACACCTTTCAAGACCCGCCTGCAGGAATTATCCAGTTTGCAGGGCTGTCTGCTGTGGGGCACTCGAGTGGTCATCCCGACCTCACTGCGTACCCGAGTTCTGGAGGCGTTGCACGAGGGGCACCCTGGCATCGTCAGAATGAAGGCATTAGCACGCAGCTACGTATGGTGGCCGGGCCTCGACGAGGACATCATCAGATGGGTAAGCTCCTGCAATCCCTGCCAGGAATCCCGTCCAGCTCCTCCAATTGCCACCCCTACTAAGTGGGAAAGCGCCAGCGCTCCGTGGTCCAGAATTCACATCGACCTAGCCGGCCCATTGCACGGGAAAATGTTCCTAGTGGTCGTGGACTCCTACTCTAAATGGATTGACGTGGCACAACTATCCACGACCACCACACTAGCGATTACCAAGGTATTAACTCGCCTGTTTGTAACACACGGGCTGCCTGACTCCATTGTTTCCGACAATGGCCCACAGTTCGCATCAGCCGAGTTCAGCCGTTTCGCTGCCAACCTGGGCATCCGCCACATCTTCACGGCCCCATTTCATCCTGCCAGTAACGGATTGGCTGAAAGAGCCGTTAGGACCACTAAAGAAGCCCTAGCTAGGTTCAGCAAGGATGACTGGCACCACAAACTCTCGCGTTTCCTGATGAGCCAGCACTCAACTCCGTGCTCAGTCACCAATAAGTCCCCAGCTGAGCTCCTGATGGGCAGACGCCTGAGGACTGTATTGGACAGACTTCACCCACATTACTGCCCTGACTCTCCCCTCGCTTCCACATCGGGGGTTAGGCATTTTATCTTACAGGAACCCGTATTCGCGAGGAACTTCGCTGGAGACCCTCTGTGGATCCCGGGCGAGATCGTGGCCATCACCGGACCCAGGTCATATCGGGTCAGACTGGAGGATGGCCAAGTATGGAGAAGGCACCTGGACCAGCTGCGAAGGCGTCACAGCACCCTCGTCAGCAGTGACTCTGAATTACAAACCGGGGCGAGGCCACAGCATCAACCCCACATCAGCACCAGTTCCGGTGACCTGCTTACACCAGCAGCCGATCCAGGGAATCCGAACACGGACAGCGACGTCCAGATGGCTGACCAGTCCGAACCAGTCAATGGGAGCACGTCCCCAG